AGGGTATCGAGTATCGAATATTTTACTTTGTATCAGTATCGAGTTGAAAAGTTTAGTATCGTGACAATCTTAAAAAAGACTAAAACAAAGTGAATCCAGTAGAACCTTTTATTGCCTACCTGGAATGGGTGACAATAGTTGAACAAAATTTTTTGGCTCTCAAAATGGTATCGGTGCCCTATTTGTTGGTACTCGCCAATACTGATACCAATACCACCATTTCAGTATCAGTATCTGTGCAACACTAATCACAAGGTGAATCAACACATTAGAAACCAACCCTCCATAAAATATGTTGCTTTCTGGCTAAACTATTTATTTTCAAAATATCTTATGTTGATATTTATTTGCTTATTACCGAGTAGGGAATGAACAATGTTAGATTGCACTCTGATCTGTATTGTTAGCTAATTATCAAACTGCACCTATTCTGGGTCTCATAGGTGATTTGATCTCATTTTAAAGAGCTAAACAGAAAAACTGGTTCTCAAGCCTAAATATTCACATTGAACAGCATAGACAGTTTTGTCCTTACTTGTGAAACATTGTTCATCAGCCAAGTAAATAAAGAGGTTTTTAAGTTGTTACACTATTTACAGACAACTGACTTACCTTACAGCATGTCGGTTTAAACGATCCCCTTTGCCAGTCATGACTCGAGACAAAATGTTCCTCAGCCATTTTGTTTTCTGTAATTCTCATTACACTAACAACATCATAGAAATATAACAGTTTTTAAATCATTATTAAACATTTCTAACATGGCCAAGGTTTCATAATAACAATGAATAAAAAAAATGTATGTTCATCAAAATGTAATTGTTTAAAAAATTCACTGTTTTTAATCTTCTGTCATGGTTTTGATTATGTTGTGCTTTACTTTGCTCCTTGTTTTCTAGTTTTTTTGGTTTAATTCCTATTTTGTTGTAATTTCTAGATTTATGTTAGTTCTCATGTTTTTCTGTTGTCCTCTGCCCTCGTGTGTGTTCCTTTCCCCTTGGCTCTCTCGTTGTCTCCTTACACCTGCTCCTTTTTAGCTCGTTAGCCCTCCCTTTGTCTCTGTCAGCTATTTCTGCTCTCCCTCTGCTCTCACTCTTTGTTGGTTCCTCTGTTGTTGCTGGTCCTGTCTTCACTGCAGTCATCTCCCCTCGTCTCTCCCTGGCTCCTTGTACGTGTTTTCCCTTGATGTCTCCATGGTTCTGGTCTGTCACATTTTTAGTTGGATTTTTGGGACTGCCTTTGTTTACCATTTTCATTAAAACTACAAGTATTCACCTCAGCCTCTCTGCCTCTGCATTTGGGTCCTCCAAACCACAGCCAAAACGTGACATCTTCCCATACCCAAAGAAAGAAAATAATTCTGAGAATAGCTTTAATATCTTTAGTCAGTTTTACAACTTGAGTACAGAATTGTAGTTTTCATGATATTCACATCTAGGGAATCAACATCTTTTTATTTGATAGAGGAACCAAGAACAAGCATTATAATGGTTGACCAAGATCAGGGAGGGGTAAACACACAGCTCAGGTGGAGACATGTACAGAAGCAGTTTCATTTGGATAAACTATGTACAGTACAAATCATTTATACAAATTAGGCTCTAAGATATAGAATTCAGTACACTACATTTGATATATTATTTCAGACTGAGGAAGCCCCGCCCACCCCCATCTTCCCTTCCCCAAATGTTCAATCAGACATTCAGTGTGTCAACCAGTCATCCACCAAACGCTGCATTCTGGCTTCACTGAAAAAGCTGAGAATTGACACTGGTTGTTTGAAATTCGGACTGGACCAGCAGGAAGCTATCCGCTCAGTCCCAGTTCACCCTGTAGGCAGGAGACACCACCGTATGTTTCTAAAAGCACCAAACTCACATTGAACTCGCCACCGTTTACTGGTTTGCAGTTTGTGTAAAAACAACCGTAGATTATTTTTGTGTTGTTTTTAAATATCATGATTTATTTTGCTTTCCAGTTATGCAACAAGCAAACAGGAGCCTATTAGCGCGCAGCATAGGCAGCGGTAATCCCAGATGCTGTCGCTAAAGAGTATGTGTATGAGAAGTGAAAAAAAGATAAAATATGAAACTGTGAATAAATCAGGGATAACTAAATATAGTTAATGAGTAGGGTTGAATTTAACAGTGACAAGTACACCAGCCTCTTCCCTCGTACCAAGGCATAGAGGATACATGACATAAATCAAAAGCAAATGCTAACAAAACAACCACAGTTTTCCAGGTGCATTTTAGGCATATTACAGATTTATTTTTCTAGGCTTCAAATATTAAAAATAAATTCACATCCCTCTAAAGGAGAAAATAAACAGGACTTGGGATGGTTAAACCATGTAGACAGGTTTAGGGACATTATGGTTAACATCTGCAATGGGAGGGATCCCCAGTTTTTTGTTCCAGCCATCCATTAGCTTGAGCAAATGGGAGCGTCACCCAGAGGGGAAGTAGGGAGTGTCACTGTGGTAGTTGTAGTCTGGGCACACTTTCTGCACTAGTTTGTAGTCAGTGCTGTAGAAGGAAATGAAGATGCAGATTACTTTGAAAGGTTTGGAGCAGAGCCAGGAAACATGGCTCTGGGTTTGCTCCTGGTAGCAGGTCTTAGATGGGTCGAAGTTGCAGAGAGTATTCTTCGCCCCCTTTTCCACCTTCTCATATTCTATTCGACAGTTGAAAGACTTTGAGTCCTTGGCGTCGATGACGGACTGCTGTGCTGCCACGTCAAACTCCACTATCTTAGTTGGTGGGACCAAGCTGACGGATACGTTGCCCTGGCCAGTGGAGTTATGGCGGAAGTACACACTGAAGGTACCGTTTCCGTGATCTACGATTTTCCCAGTGATGAGCAGGTTGAGTTTGACAGTTTTTATATTGGAGTGGAAGTCTCCCCAGCCAAACATCTTCTTAAACTTGCCTGTCTTAACCATGGGCCGCCGCTTCGCTCGAGGCTTTGAGTCCTGCGGGTCTGTGGAGTTTCTCAGCCAGTCCCAAAGGTCTTGATCTGAGTAGGGCTCCGGTGTGTTATAGTGAAGGTCCAACGCGGTGCTGTTCTTGTTGCCGTGCAGAGTCTGTGACAAGAGCCTACTGATGGACATTTCCTTACCGCTTTCTGTCCATATATGCTTTGGCGTGGACTTTGGGTTCCCTGTCTTTACAATGTCTGACCTTGAGGCTTTGACGTTTGTAATCTGGGAAGGAGAGTAAAAAGAGGTCTGTTAGACAGTTTCTATTGTGTAGTCAGGTCACATGTCTGAACTGCATGAATTGACAAAAAGGTCAAGTTAGGTTCAGTGAATTTAATAATATTCAAGCTCCTTATAAATAAAGAAAAGGGAAATAGTTTCATTTTATCACAGCAGCCACTTTGGATGTTATCATCCCATTAAATGGTCATCATTAGCGGTTATAGGTCCCATTGAATGGCTTCAGATTGTGCCTCCTACTTCCCTGTAGGCTCAGTAGGTTGGTATCACAGATTAATCCTTTTTTACCCACAGACTTTATTAATGTATTTATGTTTAATCTGAAAATAATTTGAGTAGATTGATCTGCATGAAGCTCATATGGAACAACCCCTCCAAAAAAAATCTTATATCCTGTAAACTGAGTTGCTTTCAAACATTAAACATTAAAATCTGTGTAACTGAAACATGTGGAATAAGAAACCTACTAGGAGGTAGAGAGTTTTGAGAGGGTTATGGGACTGATAACCGCTAATAATGGCCATTTAATGGTTGATCCCACCTGAAGTGGTTGGTCAGAGATCATATAATAACAGGCATTTTTCAAATGAATATTTTTACTATATCTTGAAACCCAAAATAACATTGGCTCCAGACATTGAACACATCCACATGTCAA